AATACCAGAACGCCCATCTCCCAGAGATAACCCGGAGGCCAGGAGAGCTCGATGGTGCCCAGCTACCACCACCACTGACTCTGAAAGGAATCCCATTAGACGGTCCTGGATAGAGTGGGAGGAAAATGTGGAATAAAGTCAAAATCATGAAGACCAGGCTGTGTGCCGGTCCGATAGAGACTGGTGGATCCCCAAGACTACAGCCTTCAGTCCCCCTTCAGATCTGGAAATAAACTCACTCCCCATGGCTCAATTTTCAGATCAACAATAGACAGGACTCCATGAAGAACAGTTAACATTGGTGAAGTTTGCATGTCTTAGACCAACCAACCGGATGAGGTCCAAAGGGCAGCCCTGACTCAAGGGCAAAGCTCGGAAGGGTTAGGAAGGGAGGAGGGAGCAGCAGTGGGATCGGTGATGTCACATAATGCAGACTGCAATCAATGAGATGCAGCGAAATGTCATGGATGGTTGAACGGCAATCTGCTACGTGATGTGAACGTTCACCTCATTCACAATAAATAAAAGAAACAATGGGCTCAAAGGCGACTGAGTGACCAGGGAGGGGTCCCCCCATCCCAGCTGCCTTTGTTGAGAAGCAGCTTACAGGTTACCTAGTGCAAGCCATCTGTGAAGCCCACCCACACAGGGTCTTAACGGTCTGGGCTGGGCACCGCTGAGTACTGAAAGCTCTTTCACTGAAGAACGGAAGGGGAGCAACTGGCGAGTCCATTTGTGTATATTATCCCTCGATCCCAGTTGTGCCCTGGACACAAGACATTCTTCCAACATCATGTGTGAAGGCAGGTGTTACCCAGCCCCCAGCCCCTGCTTCTCATCCTCAAAGGATGTGATTCTCTGACAATCCTCCCATCGGACACACTCTCTGTGGAGTGTGTTAGCAGCTGCTAACACAAAGGGTGGGAATTTGAACCCATGAGAGGAAGACATGGTGATCGGCTCCCCTAAAAATGTGCAATTTGGGGGACCCTGTAAGGCAGCTTTGCTCAGTACCAGAGTCACTCCCAACCAACCCGCTGCCATCGAGCCGATTCCATCTCAGCAACCCTGTTATACAGAGTAGAACTGCCCTCTCGGGTGTCTGAGACGGAAACTCTCTGGGAACAGACCTTCATGCTTCCCAGGAGAGACTGGTGGGGTCGAGCCACCAGCCTGCACCACCAGGCCCCTTCTGTTAGGTTCTGGAGTGGTTGACACCCCTGCACAACTCACAAGCAGCAGGGGCACGCTTGTAAATCCAAGAGGCTTTTACGAGAAATAGGGAAGTTTCGGGGACTCACAGGAAATCCCAGGGCCCAAAAGAGGGCCCAAAAGAGCGCCCAGAGAGAGGCCTGAGAGGGAGCTCGGGCCCCAGGGCCCAGGCAGCACATGTGCACCCCCTGCCCTCAGACCTGCAAGAGCACACCCCAACAAAAGAGTAAGAAAGGAGTCAGAGAGGGGAGTCAGAGAGCAGCCAGAGAGGCTTGCCCTTCTGGTGACGGGCTCAGATCTCCTCGGGCTGGGGAGGCTTGGTTTAAAGTATTGGCTGCCCTCATTGGCTGAGTTTAAGCACACCTGGGTGATGTCTTGTGGCTGGGCCTAGTCTGTGTGCACCCAGGTGGACCTCCCACCTGGGCCTTGCAGGCAGGGGGGCGAGGCGGGGTGGCGGTGGGGGTGGGGACTTGTGTCTGAGCATGCTCACTTTAGATCTTTCCATAGGTGTTTAATTAGCCTGACTTCTCTCCCACTTTACTGTGGCATGGATAGCTCATTTTCGTGTAGTGAGGCATTTGGTGAAGAATACCCCCTTTGTCCCTAACCTACCCACCTGTCCCTGTCACTACGTGAGCCTGGACACAGCCACTGTGATTCTGAGTCAGCTATGTTTAAATGCCATCATTGATTTTGCTTAGAGCAGCGGTTCTCAACCTTCCTGATGCCACAGCCCTTAATACAGTCCCTCGTGTTGTGGTGACCCCCAACCATAACATGATTTTTGTTGCTACTTCATAACTGTCATTTTGTAGCTGTTATGAATTGTCATGTGGACATCTGATATATAGGATGTGTTTTCATTGTTACAGACTGAACATACGTAAACATAATTAAAGCATAGTGATTAATCACAAAATATGCAATTACATATTGTGAAATACTTACGTCTTTTCTGATAGTCTTAGGTGACCCCTGTGGAAGGCTCATTCGACCCCCCCCAAAGGGGTCGCGACCCCCAGATTGAGAACCGCTGGCTTGGAGCTTCCTGTGTTTGACTCTCAGGTTTCAAATATGCCCTTGAACTGATCCCCAAGGGTTCAATCGAGAGTTCATTGGCATCCAGCTCCTGCCTGGGGTCCACCTGGCCCTCCAGTTTCCCTGCTTATGGTGGTCCTCACGAAAGGAGCTGTCCAGGCTATGAACGCTGCAGCCGGGCAGCCTCAGTGCCTCTAGGCGTCTTGTGCGCTTTGTCTCCTATGACATCTAGCCCACCTGCATGTCCTAGGGGGCTGGCCTTGTTTAGAAAAATCAGGACACCCGTTGTAGCTTGGGAATTAAAATGAGCTGTGCCCCCACCCTATGGCCTCTGTGGTGGTGGCGGGTTCCGAGAGCAGGCTTCCTCCATTAGCCTGTCTTCCCGGTCAGCAGCCTCCCCCCTACCTCCGTCCACTTGCACTGGTTATTCTGAGCTCCATCGCTCCAGGGCACTGGCCCCCTATTTGGGGAATGACCGACAGGGAGGTGGACTCTGACTCCGCCCCAGGGGATGAGTTTAGCTTCTTCTGAAAAACAGAACCGCCTTTGCCGAGTCAAAACCTTTGGGAGCGGGACTCAGGAACCCCACCCCTTCTCCACTGCCCAGCCCTCGGGGGATTCTGCTCCTCAACCAGATTCCGAAATGGATTCACTCAAGACCTCAAGCAAGAGGGTTTTGCTTGATCTTGAGAAACGTTCTGACTTGGAAACAAGCCGCAGGCCTGGGCTGTTTCTCAATCGAGTCTCCTTTCCGGGTTTGACGGAGACAGATCACTGACACTGGGTGAGGAAGCTTGGAGAGGAGTGGGCCCTTCTGGGAAACTAGTCTGCTCGTTTCCTGGAGGATGGGGACTCCGGGCAGTGGTTACCGGAGAGGGAATTGGCATGCATAAGCGAGGGTTTTTCCTTTGGGAATGGCAAGGGAGAAACGAGCACCTTCAAGGCTTGGGAAATCCTTCATCAAACAGTATTGAAAGTTCACCCTCTTCAATTCCTAGGACACGGAATATTCTCGCCCTCAGGCTGTTTGGAGGGCCAGGTTGTGAGAGCAAGACTTGGTGATCTGCTCTCCAAAGGATTACGTTGTCATGGCAACCGGGGGGGGTATGTGTCCTCTTACTCCGTCCTACCCTGCGGCTGTGAGCTGGAAGATTCAGCAGTTAGGGGCATTGACAGTGTCAGAGCTCTTGATTCTCCCAACTGGGGGCCACCCATCTGATTGCATTCCTGCAGATAGCTGTCCCCCCAATCCCTCCCGTCTAGTCTGCATATTCGTTTGCACATCAGACCTGGACCTAGGTATGTACACTTACTCCTCGCTTAACGACTCTCTCGTTATCCCAAGATCCGACATTTCCCTTTTTGACAAAGGCGGCAGGTGAGGAACTGATCTATAGCAACCCCACGACACCCCCACCATTAGCTCTGGAAGCCTACCTGTGTCCATAAAGGGGCGGGGGGGGGGGGGGGGGGGGGGGGGGGGGGGGTGGTGGAGAGGGGTGAATGGTCACCTTGCCACGAGTTCATAAGCCACGTTTCCCGGCCTTCCTACGTGATCATTTCCAGGAGAGCAGAGAAGATGCCTGCGCTCCCTGACCGATTGCCTACAGCCAGTGGTCAGGAGCAGGTACTGGTGGAAGGCTTCGATGAAAAGCACCGGAACTTGAGCGGTTAGGAAGCTAGCTCAGCCCTCTGACAATCAGTGGCCCGAGTCTGCATTTCCTTCTTCTGTGAAATGAAGACTCAGAGATTGTTTAGATTAACGATTAACTTTTTTTTTTTACAATGGGTTATTTGAGTAGCTCTTGAGAAGCAAGCACAGGGACCCTGAAGAGGTATTTATATATATATATATTTTAAAAATGTAAGGGGGAGGACAGGAAACTTGGCTTCTCAATATTCCTGGGGAAAGAAAAGGGGGGCCGGGGAATTCAGCTCCTAACAGTTGAATGCCCAGTGGGACACGGGTGGGCTAGATCAGCTGGCTTCTGGGTTTGTTCAAAGGTGGACAGGCTCGAAAGCTGCCTCCCGGGGCTGAGTCCTGAGGGCAGGCCGCGGCCCAGAGAAGAGGATGGGGAGGCCCCCAGGGGATGAGCATCTTTAGAGGCCCAGTGGCTCCCCAATGGTCTGGGACAGAAGGTCCCAGCGGTTTCATGGGAATTACCGCCCTGCAGGGAGGGGAAGTGGGAGAAGTCATTTCCCCTCCCAGATGTCATGCACCTCCATTTAGAGACAGGCCCGGGGCTGCTTCTTTGTCTGGGAAGACGCTGTGCACACAGGCACAGCCCGTGTTCCATGCTTTGCCCACAGATGTTGAGTTTTCCACAGATGGAGGGCAAGGGGGGTTAGGGGTACCATGCTCCCAGCAGCTCGGCCTCACTCCTGCCTCTGCAGGGGTTTTCCTCGGGCTCCGGTCCCGTGTCGGCAGTGGGACTCAAATTAGGCATGTGCTCGCAGCAGTTTCATGTGCACAGCTGCCGCGGGGAACAAAACTCCCTGCCATCGAGTGCACTCCGACCCACAGTGACCCTGTGGCCCAGGGGACAGCTGCCCCTGTGGGTGTCTGAGGCCCGACTGCTTCCTCCTTCAGAGCGGCTGGGGGCTTCGAATTGCTGACCTTGTGGTCAGCAGCCCAAGGTGCAGCCACTCTGCCAACCCTGGCCATTTCCAAAGCGTCACCTAGAATTCATATCAGGATCCACCGGGTTGCATTTCGGGGTGGGAACAAACCATACTTGAAAACCCACAAGCACAAATAAACCGACTTTAATAGATATTATTTTGTATTTATATAGCGCCTCTTCAGGAACCTTAGAAGCTTTACAGACATGATCTCTAATTAGCCCCCACAACAACCCTGTGAGGTAGGTAGTGCTCCCGTGGGACCACACAGGGAGACTGAAGCACAGAGAGGGTGAGTGGCCTGCCCAAGGCCACAAAGACACGTCACCGGAGAGGCAGGCGGGGCGGGCGGGCGCCCTCGCCTCCCGGCTCCCCGTGCAATGCCTCAGGAGCAAGACTCGTGAATGAAAGTCTCAGAGCAGGCACCTGATCCAAGGGAGATCTTCCTACTGCCCCCAAGGAAAGAAAGCCCTCCACTGACGGCCAAGGCCGCCACCGAGAGCCGCACCTCACACATTTCTGGTCCCCCTCAGCCCCCTGGCTGCCCTCACCCCTGCCCCCCTTCTGAAGATCATGCTCCCAAGGCAGGGGCTGGGTGACTTGGAAGCAGGACTCGATTGGGAATATGTGACTTTGAGTTAATGTATAGAAATTATTTTCCGCCAACATACAACATTGGGGACGCTGTCCCCCCGACACTCGCACGTACATGGTTACACAGCACACAGCCACACTGACGACGTTCATTTGCCCTCCACTCCACTACAGGCGCCCACAGCCAGCACGGGGCCCTGCTCCCGTGGCCTGGGGTCTGCGTGAATGCCCCCGGTGCCGGCTGCCCTGGTGCCTGAGAGCCACAACTTCATACTTCAAGTCGGCTGCACTGAGACAAAGAAAATGGAGAACCCTTCCCCCTCCCCACAACGCCCACCCCCCCTGACAAAAGCACACAGATCAAACGTGGCGTCGACGTGAACAGTGGGTGGGTGAATACCACGGGGCCCACGACAGAGGCCATGCCACGGCATTTTCTCCTTTGACGTAAAGGCAAAGACCGCACAGTGTAGTCGAGAGGGAGGCTCCGTTTGTCATTCTCCCACCTGCGGTGGCTGAGCCAATACAACTGGCTAGCCTGCCTTTCCCCGCCTGGACTCTCTGACCTCTCATGTGGAGCTGCGGGAAGTCCGCCTGCCTCCGAGACAGTTCGGCGGAAATCCGGAAACCGGAACAAACCGAACCCAAAGGGGGCCCCCCTCCGGGGTGAAGGCGCCCCCCACCACCCCCTGCTGGGTCCTGACCGTGGATCTCTAGGGGTCAGGGCAGGGCCTGCAGGATTTGTGTACCAAAATGCCGGTCAGGGTGCTGCATCAGGAAAATGGAACCATAAAAGCAAAGGTGTTAAAACTCTCACCAAGCCCGTGGTCATGTCCCCCCAGCATATCTGTGTCAGCGGTCCAGTCGGCCACGGGGCCCTGTCTGAGGAATGAGTCAGGGGAGAGCCGTTTCCTGAGCTAGGTCCAGGGGGGACACGTGTGACCAGCGTTCCAGGTCGTGGCTGTTGTCTGGCTGTCACGTTCAATACTTTTCATAACTCTAGAAGAGAATTTTTGAGAGAGGGAGGGGAACATCACCGCCTGAGAGGGTGAACTCGCACCTGGGGCCCGTGGCGAGGGTGGGGAACAGGTGGTCAATGCTTCCTGCGCGTGTCAGACACCTCCCCGAGGGGCAGGGCCGCTGCAGCTGGTTTCACACCTCTCTTAAGGGCACGATCACTTGGGGAAAAACAACAGAAGCAGAGGGAAGTCTTAGTGAGCAAATTTCAATTAAGAATCTCTCTCTGTAGTCCTGACCTACTTCCTTCAAATGCAATCTCCAAAGGGTCCGTACGCCAGTGACCAGGCTTTAAGGGCTTATCCAGAATGGGCTGCTTGCTTCCAGGGTCAGAAATGACCCTAGAGAAAGACCTGACCGTCAGGGCGTGCATTTCGCCTGAGCCCGGCCCCACCGTCAACAACAGGATCCTTCCCAGCTGAATGGCTCACAGCCCACTTGGCACTGTGTGTCTCTGTGAGGGACGGGACAGATCCAGGGCGTTGTGCTCGGTGTGTGTGTTTCTGAACTAACGTGGAAGCTGCAGCACACAGCTGACTGACAAATGAACACCAGAGGACAAAGACTTAAACCAGAGACTTCATGTGCTCCGGGAAGAGGAGGTCTACCTGTCTTGTTGAAGCAAATCTCCCTCTTAAGGTATCAGAATTGATTTCCAACAGTATTTAAAATTCACCTTCAAAACAGAAACCACGCAAAGGAAAAATTAAATGAACAGAAACTAATATTTGAAAAAGAAAAAGATACTCAGATTCCGTGGGCGTGTTGCACGATGTGTAAGGACAATAAATAAGGAAGGGGAAAAGAAATCATAATTACAAAGACAGTCTTTCCCCTGGGGGACACTGCTCCCTATACACACACACACACACACACAAACATGCACACACACACACACTCTGTATGATTACAAGCTTCTTCAGAGAAGCAGAGCCTATTCCTCTTCCCGACGCTGGAGTCTAGGACTGGTTAGTTTCGGACACTGGGAAGGCAACTGCAAGTGTTGGGCCCAAAAATCATTTCTGGTTTATGCTTGGAAGAAAAACACAAAGACAACAGAACACAAACCCCCCTGAGCGGCGTCTGAGACACCGTAAGCAGCAGGCGATCTGGGCCCCCGACACTCAGAACAATCCAGATGCCGACTCTTCCTCTCGTACCCAGAGAAGGTCCACACGTGTTCGGCATGACCCTGCTGTGCGGTGCGAGTGCAGGGGCCGGCCACCACTTGGAAGGGTGCTGGCAAGGGGTGGCTGGGGCCTCCGGGGTGCTGGCAGATGGTGCGGAGCACAGAGCACGTGATACCTGAGCGAATAAATCAACCACCATGATGGGGAGGGGGGGGCGCGTTCATCCCGAGTCTCTGCTTTATTTGTGTGCAACGTGCTGCTGCCCCTGAGCGAGCGTGCACGCCGTCCATCTGTCTGCCCGCCCCGCCTGAGGCTGGGGCTCAGTGCTTTCTCGGGTCTCAGCTCGCCGGGGGGGTGGGGGTGGGGGGCACCCTGTGGCCGAGGGTCTCCCTTCAGCACTGCCCCGATCAGTCCCGGGACTGGTAGAAAAGGATGTAGCCAGACTCAGAGTTCTTTGAGATGTCTGATGTCAACCCGTAGAATTCTTCAATCGCTTGGGCGTCGATCTTCTGCCGGGAGAGGGGAGAGACGCGGTTAGCAGGGGCCCGAGGACGCGTGGCCGCATTCCCCTCCCCTGATGAGAGGCATGGTTACAATGGTTACAGCTGTGGCTCATCAACGCCTGGCCTCATTTCTAAATGAAACTTTTATCACAGGTATGGACGGATGGATGGATGTAAAACGAATGGTACTCTTAGGCCTTGAGACTGTCCCAGGTTTCACGCCTCCGCTGGGGGTCTTGGACAGACCGACTCCCCTTGTGCCAAGGATAAGGGGCGGGGGGTCAGGACTGGGGCAAACCCTCTCATTTACTGTTCTGAACTGCTCGACATGCTTTGCTCACCAGTTGAGATAGTTAAAAGTTTATTGTGCCAATCTGGCCAATAAACACATGTGGGGTTAATTGAAAGGCGGAGAGATAAATGGCTCAGTGAGCCTCGCCTTTCTAGTTCTCCGGTCTCTTGCTTTCTGATGGTTGGACCAGGGTGCAGCTGCCTTAGCCAGTTCCCTGCTTCAGCTGGCAAGGCTCACTTCCTGCTAGACATCCCTGAGGAGAAGCGCCATGGATCTACCTCAATGCAGCCCTGGGTGCTGGAGCAGCCATGTGAAGACCCCTGCCAGCGCTGAGATGCTTACACGTTCACTGATTCAGCTTTCCTCTTGTGGTCGGCATCATTGCATGTCTTTTGCGAGATGGAGGAGGACTTTGTGGATTGGTGTCGGGCATATGGGAAATGTTAGACTTGTGGGCTTGGGCAGCACTAGGTTGGGATGTTTTCTTAATGTGCACTTACTCTTTATATAAAATTCTCTCTTATACATATGTTTCTGTGGATTTGTTTCTCTAAAGTACCCAGACTAACACACCAGTCGTATTGCCAATATCTCCTCATCAGGCTGTACTTTCTTGCATGTGAAACAGCTCTGAACATCCAGAGTGGCTTTAAGTTAAAGAATTCGAACAATTCTGAGTCCTGGCAAGAATGTGGGGCATGTGGCGTGGCCACAGGCAGCCCACAGGTGGGGACATGCAGTGGGGCCAACGCCGAGGGAAAGGAGCTCTAACGATGAACACACAGACACCCTCAGCTCCAGCACCCTCACCCCAAAGATGACATCAAATACATGACCGGTCACGACTCGGGGGCCACAGAGAGAGGACGGCCTGGAGCCCAGCAGGAGGCACGGACACGGAGGCCCACTGGACGGCTGGCCCGAAGTGAGTCTCTGACTCGGTCCGTCCACACAGAGGAACGCTCCGCAGGAATGAATGGGACAGGCCTGGCACCATGGCCAGATGGCCAGAGCTCGTGGGGAAAAGGAAGTGAAAAGATGGTGGCGTTTCCCACAGACTTCTCCAAGCCCCCTTGCAACGTCCACGTCCACTCAAGAATACGCAAAACTGAGCAAAAGGATGAAAGCAGTAATTTTTTGTTCTAAGGAATGAGGAAACTCGGGAAGAATGGGAATTCCAGAACACTTGCTGTGCTTATGCAGCACTTGCACACGGATCAAGAGGCAGGGCTTACACTCAGGAAAGGCGTGGGTCGGGCTGCATCCTGTGACCCTCCTCGTTCCATCTGTGTGCTCAGCACACAACTGGGGAATCCGGATGACACCGGGAGAGTGCGGCATCAGGATCGGAGGAAGGCTCGGGACTAGCATGTGCGGAGCGGATGACGTGCCCTGGCTGGCCGCAGGCGAGGGGGGCTTGACGTGCTTGCTGATGACGATCAAGCACTGCAGCCTTCGGGACGGATGACCACTTGATGTACAGATCAAGCACTGCAGCCTGCAGTACGCATGACAGCTCAGTGTGAAATTGAAGGAAAAAATCAAGACTCGCTGCCTCCAAGTGGATGCTGACCTCACAGTGAGCCTACAGGGCAGGGTAGAACTGCCGCTGTGAGTTTCCGAGGCGGCAACTGCTTCTAGGGATGGAAATCCCCAGTGTCCTCTCAGAGAAGCTGATGGTATCAAGGGCTGACCTTGAAGTTAGCAGTCCAACATCTAGCCATTCTGCCACTAAGGCTCTTACAACTCAAACGGACCAACAGGGAACATCATGATCAACAGAGAAAAGACTGAAGTTGTCAAGGGGTTCATCTTGCTCGGACCACAGTCAATGTTCCCGGAGGCAGCAGTCAAGAGAGCGAAAAACCCATGTCTGCTGCACAAGGCCGCTTTAAAGTGTGGAAAAGCAAAGAGGTTACTTTGAGGACGAAGGTGTACCTGATCCAAGCCCTGGTCTTCTTTTCTATGTCCTCACCTGCAGGTGCAAGTTGGGCACCGAGTCAGGAAGACTGAAGGAGAAGGGGTGCATCTGAAGTCCAGGGCCGGAGAGGAATGGCACAAGTACCTGGGACGGCCCCAAGGACCAACAGGTTTGTCTTGGAGGAGTGCAGCCAGAGGGCTCCTTAGAGGCCAGGCTGGCGAGACTGCGTCTCACGCACTGTGGACATGTTGCCAGGGGAGGCTGGTCCCTGGTAAACTGGAGGGGCAGCAGAAAAGACGGCCTTCCACCAGACGGAGAGACCAAGTAGCCACAGCAGCAGGCTCAGGCGCAGGACCGGGCAGTTTCCTCCTGTTGCACACGGGGCTGTTATGGCCGACTGCATGGTCGCTAACAAGGCCCGAGCATGGAGAACTTTCTGGAGTGTTGGCCAGGAAGAGGAAGGACAGAGCCTACAGGGACGCCATCGTGATCGGGATGGTGGACTCAAGAGGGAGCATGCATGCACACGCAGACACCATGACCACAGGAACAAGTGTGCACGTGTGCAGATACGTACGGTTAAGACGCGTGGGCTTTATCACAGCGGCGTACGTGTCACACGTTTTGTGTTTTTGATAATGAACTCTGTAGCATTCGCTGCAACAGAGTCAGTGCTGACTCACGGCACCTCCTGTGGGTTTCTGTGAGTAAACTAACTGCTCACCAGAACAGAAAGCCCAGTCTTTCTCCCCCAGAATTGCTGGTGGTTTTGAACTGCCGACAGCGCGGACTGCAGGCCAGCGCCTAACCACCTTTAAAAAGGACACTGTTGCTGAAGCTTTCCTTGCTTGTTCTACACGGTCCAGGGCATCCGTCTAATCCTGAGGCACTGGGATGAGACATCAGGGAGCGAGAAGCGGGACTGACCACAAGGGGAAGACCTGGGCATTTGTCGAACACTCGTCGCCCGGCTGGAGCGATGGGGGAAGAAGCACCACAGACACAACGTTACAAACGAGGGAGGGGACACTACTTACTTCTACAATGTCGTCATCAAACAGCAACCAGAAATCATGACTCTTCACTATTGCAATATAATGACCCCGGTTGGGACCACTGCAGAAAGAGAGGGAGAGAGTTGGTTAATTCTATCTAATCTTTGCATTAATACCCTGCAGGCCCCACATCATGCTGTCTGGAGTTAGGAGAGCTGACAGTGAGACCTGGTCTCCTGTACTTCGGACACGTCATCAGGAGAGACCGGACCCTGGAAAAGGGCATCCCATCAGGCTTTGCACAGCAGCGGGGCAGCAAAAAGGGAAAGACCCTAGCCAAGATGGACCATCGCTTCACAGTTTAAACACGCAAAGGAACCAACTGCACTCATTTGAAGTTGGCAGTCAACTTTAAAATCAAATCATTAACACTCTACTATGATAAATATAGCTGGTAGTTTAGTTGTAGAAAAATCCTTTTGTGAACTTTATACAACTGAATTTTGAAGGGATTATGCAAATGCTTAATGGCCTCTTTAGCACTGTTGGAATGAGTTCTTGTAATCATGCTCAAGTTGCTTCGAGGGCAGGTGTACGTCCTTCCCCTCGCTTGTTTGTTTCCGTCGGTCCGGCGAGAGCATGCTGAGTTCCATGGCAAATGAGTGCCTGTCCCACCCCTGGTTAAGAGTGCTGCCCCTCCCCCACTCCCCAGGCCAGGAGGCAGGGGGAGACTTACCAGGACAGAGGTGTTGGGTTAAAGGCAGGGCTCAGAGCAAGATTGGACTTTTCTCTCAGGGTGAATGAGTGTGCCCACAGGTTAGGGTCACTGGTGCCACCGCGTCTAGTTCTAAGTGTCGCCAGTCAGCTACACAGCTGTGCCTGCATCTCAGTGGACGAGGCAGCGGGGAGACGCGCACAGACTAGCCACCGACGCAAACGGGGAGAGATCCCTTGGGAAGACCAGCTTTGCTTTGCAGGAGGACAAGCAAAGCACTTATTGCTTACACAGGTTACGCACGGTTTCCATTCAGTTACACCTCCATCACTGTAAGTGGGAGGCATATTGCACTTAAAATTCTTCTTCTAGGTCAATACGACTGGCCAACAGCAGCCACCTCCTGCCCTGTCCCTTGGCTCCTCCCTGCTGTCTCAGGTGACAAGGACACCCACAGCCCCGGGACCTGGGATGCACCCAGCCTGCAGTGGGATTCATCTCAGGAGTCTGGCGTCTCCCTCAGATAGGAAAGGGGCATTAACAGACAACGGGCGTGAGAAGCCAAGTCCCAAGAGGCCTGAGGCACAGCAGCTGAGCGGGAGGCGCGGGTGGCGGGTGGGGGTGTCTGAGACGCAGAGACTGGCTGGTGGGGGCGTGAGAACAAGGGCTGGGGTGACAACCAGCCCCCTCGGGAAGCTGCCGACTGGGATTTGCACTGTGAAAAACAAACGCCCTGTCCTCCCAAAGGGCCACTGGTGGGTTTGAACTCCGGACCTCGGGGTCTGGAGCCCCAGTCGCACCCACCAGGCCACAGCAGTCTGAAGGTTTTAAGAGGAAATGAGAGACGGTGAACAAGCCAATGTGAAACAAACCATCCCCGGTGGGAAGGTGTGGAGGGCACAGGGCTGCCAAGAGCCCCACTCCCACCCCCCAGACCCCTGCCCAGCACCTTACCTCCCACAGTGCACGACCACCGCCACCAGGTCGTACATGCGGTCAGGATTGGTGGCGTCCCCCGAGGTGTTGAAGAGGCGGAGCTCCAGCGGGAAGACCACGCGGTAAGACAGCTTCGTGTATCGATGGAGTTGGTCCATGTACTTGAACCTCTTCAGGTGGAGGGCGAGGATCATGGGCAGTTTCTTCACTTTCATCCTGTGGAAAGGGACGCCACACGCACTTTTGTCATAAGTCCCCCCAGCCCGTGTCCCTGCAGGGACCGGCCGGCGCTACACCGGGAGGGGACTTCAAAGTGTCCCCCCGCTGTTCCACAGGGGAACGATGCGGCCGTGAGGCCCTGGACGTCCACAGTCCACATCACCCGCCTCACCGCAGGGGAGCCAGCCATCGGTGCGAGGTGGCCAGCACAGGCCGGGGTTCACCGGTGGACGGTACAATGTCCAGCACGGCCCCCACAGCGACAGCGGTCGGAAGGACTACGTTGAGGCAGGCGTCGGTGGTCCGCGCGGCTCCGCTGCCCGAGGGCCGCCGTGGACGATCCACGACAGTCGCCCGTGCACATCATGCCTGCGGCGGAGTCCACGTGCACGCGCGGGCGCGGCCCCGCGGGGACTGTCCGCCAGGGGCGAGGACGAGCCAACCCCACGTCCGGCAAAGTACACACAACCCCGAGCGGCACCCAGCTGGGAACTTTGGCGCTTGGGCGTTTCCATGGTGAAGCCCCGCCCTCGGCCCCGCCCCTAACAACCTCAGCCACGCCCTTCGGCACGGCCCCTTGGACAGGGCCCCTGGTGGGCAGGGAGCGTGCATGTCCTTTATGGGGCAGGGCTGACCTGGGGTGGAGGGATGCCCGACCTATGTTGGGGGAAGCAAAGCCTTCTTCCTAACTTAAAACAGAACGACGACGAAGCCATTAAGCCACTGCCTCTGATTAAGAGGTGAAAAACGTTACACAGAATCAACACACCTATTATTCATAAAATATTTATTATTCAACTCACCTAGTCTTTTAAAAACTAATTACTAACAGGCAACAGCAGGAAACCAGGTTGGAAACCAGCCCACTGCCCAGTGGCTCAGGCAGAGGGCCTCCTTCACAGGAGACCCTGGGGCAGCAGTGCCCCACCTTCCTCACGCCTCCACCCTTTCATTCAGCTCATGTGGTGGTGACCCACCCCCAACCATAACATGATTTTCCTGGCTACTTCATCACTGTCATCTTGCCACTGTTACGAATGGGGCGACCCCTGTGAGAGGGTCGTTCGACCCCCAAGGGGGTCTCACCACAGGTTGAGACTGCTGACTGCTGGTGGGTTTGAACTGCTGGTCTGCAGACAGCAGCCTGACAGGCTGCCTTGAGAACATGGACCGGGAAACTCACACGCACTGGCACTGAGTTGATTGTGACTCCCAGTGCCGCTATCGCTATCGGACAGAGCAGGGGGCTAGGACTCCTTATGGGAGCAGCCTCATCTTGATCCTGCAGAGTGGCCGGTGGTTTCAAACTGCTGACCTTGCAGTTAGCAGCCCAATGCCTATGAGAACAACTATCAATCCTAAAGAGGGACCCAGTGATACAGAATTTACACCCCAGGGTAGGCGTCCCTGGGTGGTACACCACAGTGACGCACCTGGCTACTGACCAAAAGGCCGTACCTGGCTACTGACCAAAAGGCCGGCGGTTGAAACCCGCCCAGAGGCACCACCCAAGAAAGGCCTGGCGGTCCACGTATGAAGGGCTCGGCCACTGGAAAGGGGAGGGGGTGCATTTCCACCCAGTGCCGGAACCAGCGAGCTGATGAGAAACAGGCTGACATTGTGTCCACTTCCTTTGACAACCTTTGGTAAATGCGGTCCGGGGAATATAAGCTAAAATAGCTCTACAAGTGGATGTTTTTTCTCGGGAATCGTGTATTGAAACTATAAACTTCTTTTTTTTTTTAATGTACTGAAAAACCACAAACCAAGCCAGTTGACATGGACAATTGAGTCCAACCGCTCCACAGGCTTGGGGGGCGGACTGACCTCCTTTATCCATCCTCAGGGCGCCCGCAGTATTTCATCTCCTCTCAAACCCCTGCCTCGGCCGGAGCCTTCCTGGAAGGAGCACCAGGCCTCTCCTCCCACATACAAGGTTTCTGAAGGAAAACAAAGTCCGCTCCTAAAGACATTTTATAGTGTGGAAAGCTGGGCGCCCCTAATTACGCTACATTAGTGTGGACACAGGAACAGCATAGACTCACTTGCTTCTGCGCCTTTATAATAAAAAGGAACTTTCATTTTTCACCTCTGACCTAAGAGCTGCTTCTACCTTTACCTTTCTCAATGGTAACTAGTTACAATTTAAAATTAGGGTGGGGGGAGAAAGTAGAATAACACAAAAAGACAGTCAGTATAAATACTCATCCTAAATATATCAGACCAAAGTACATTTCAGGACAAGGAACAATCCTAGAGATAAAAGAAGGGCATTTCAGAACAAGCAAGAATCAATTAGTCAAGGAGATATAACCATGTTAAATGTATACGTCCCGATGCCAAAGCTTCAAAGTAACAATCAAAATCCGACAGAATTAAGGAACGGAAAAGAGTGGGAGCTGCTAACAGGCTCCTTTCAGTAACAAAAAGTGAGCAAGAACAGGGACAACATGAACAACCCACTGTTGACCCAACACTGTTCTCCACCCTCAGAAGACACGTTCTTCCCAAGTCCAAGTGGAACTGGGAGGAAAAGAAGTCTCATCACACTCGAAAAGAAGCATGTGCTCTGACCAAAATAAACGGCAAGACATATCTAGAAAACCCGGCCTCCCTCCCGATATGGAAACTAAGCACTATAATTCTAAATAACTCACGGGACAAAGAAAAGAAAATCACAAGGGAAATTACAAGCGCCTCATCTGTCTCCCTCGAAGCAGCTGGTGGGTTTAAACCGTCAACCTTGTGGTGAGCATGGAGAGGATGCTCTGTGAGCATCCGCCAGACCGGTCCACAAACAAGCCCGTGCTTCCCCAGGGGAGGATGACCTTGTCATCAGACTGGGCTGAGATGGCAGCCTTTCCTGGGAAGTCAGTCACAATCCACACTGTGCTGGGTGCAGCGCTCACACGGACTCCCATGCACCTGGTGACGACTTCCCAGCCTTCACGGGGGTTATTTATGGTCAAGCATTGTCACTTGGAACACCTCCTCCCCGCCCCCACCCCCCCAAACCACCTCCCTGCTACGCGCGGTGTTACCGTTTGTGCGCCTCCTGCTTGCTGCGGCACTCCTCGCAGTAGTACTTGTACTCGCTGCACAGGGTCTCGGTGTTGCTGAAGCCCCTGTGTGAAAGTCAAAGGACGGTCGGTTTGTGGGGCCTGTGAGAGCAGAGCTGAAAACCAGCCGCTGTGCATTCCCAAACAGCCAACCCTCGTCAGGGGAGAGGGCCCCAGGAAGTACCTCAGGCAGTGAGTGATCGAAGTGTTCTGTTCCACGTCCACAGAAAGGTCTAGAAAATCCTCATCTTTGCTGCTTATCTGTGAAAAGAAGGACCGGCCTTGGATTTCCTCACCACCGAGAGGAAGCCGCTGCTTCCAGTGGCCCCACTGCTGCCCGGGCTGCGGGCACCTTGAGATGGCTGATGTGATGCAATCACCTTCCACCTCCTCCCATCTACCTCCCACCCGCAGACCTGGTGCTCAGTATTTATCTCTCGAGAATACACCTGCTGTCACACAGATTTGGGCAATACTGCACAAAGAAATGGTGTATTAGAAAAGCTACTATATACATACATTCCTGGGGTGAGGTCCAGCAACTATGGCAGGGGCCAAACCAAATCCAGGGATACATGCAGTAGCCAACTAAATAGGCGGGGCAAAAAAAGAAAGAAAAGACATGGGGGAAGCGGGAGCAGGGCACTAACCACCCAAGGGGAGGGTACTATTTATATCTCAACCGGAGAGGGAGAGAGAGACCACGCTTCAACCCGATGTGCCAAGACGTGAATACAACATACCAATACATACCAGGGAACCAATAAAGAGGTCTACAGGTCTGGCCCCAATGCTGACTTATGTGGACACCCCTACACCCTCAAGAATGCACTTCAGAGGACAGCACTGGGGCTACAGCTTGGGGACAGGGGAGTGTCTGATTAGAGCACACGAGAAACAAAAAGGGATGGAGAGGGAGGGGAGGACATCCTGGCCCACCAAGCCCTGAGGAAAACATTCCTGCTGGAGCAGACAATGCACAGGGAGGACCATAGGGCCGGCCCCACCAGAGACATAACGTCCCTCACTAAACCATAGCGCTGCGGGGGACAGCACTGGAGACACACCCGGGAACTGTGCACAATATGAGCTCATCACACTGGGACGAAACACTAAGGGCATGCAACAGAGCAGCATGGGGAGCAGAGTGATGAGACCCTGGGGAATACCAAAAACAGACTTTGGAGACAGAGTGTGGCACCCCATCACATTCGAACGGAAAACACGCATAAAGGCCAACAAACAGACCTTGAACTTTTTACAGGCCTTTCCTTGTCAATGACTTTCTTTCTGTTGTTGTTGTTATTGTTTTATTGGTCGACTTCCTTTATTGTTTTATTTAGCTTTGCTTGGTCTTTATGCTTATTAATGTATCTGCATGCCTATCTAGCTAAGATAGGTGGGATAAATAATTTGGAGACGAAAAGAACAGGACCAATGGTTGGGATGGGGGGGGA